CGAGAATGAATGTACGAATGTTATGACCCACTTGTGTCTGAATCCAAACAGAAAATAAGTAAACTTTTCACAATTCACATTTCAGTGGAATAAATAAGCAAGAACATGAAAGCTTTCACAAATCGTCATGACTGGCTCAACATGTAGTTCAGCAACCAGTTCAGATCACATGTTTTCAATTTGGATATTTTCTAACGCACTCTATTTAATCGTATATTAATATTAGCCATATAATCGAGGACATGGATGGAAGAAGCATGTGAACGTAGATGTATCAGATAGATATGCAACCATGTACAAAGGATCACATCGTGTTACCAAGTGGACCCATTCATTTCCTTCTCGAAGAAGGCCAAGAATCAAATGGAACAAAAAGGAGGAGCTCCCGCCGACGAGAATGGATTTTTGATCTTGAAGCCACTTTTTCTTGAGTATGTGCATGATCGTCATAGTCATCATTGTTCTCATTGTATAAACAGAATGACCAACTACAAGTACAGTAATTGTGGACAGTAGATCTGTCACCATTGCCAAGTATGTGGTTGTGGTGCTTCAACTCACCCCAATACGAAGAAATAGTAATAAAACCATCAGTGAATGTTTTTTTTATTTCGTCTCCAAATAAAGGGGAGGTTATAGTTTCTGGAGATCAATTTTAAGTTTTGATTTCAACTAAATGACAATCCATGCTTCGGACAACTCATAAATAAAAGAGCATTCTTCCTTAAATATTTGTCGGGAAGACATGTGCGACCAGATTTGAATGGCTGTGCACGGCTGGAACTGTCAACAACTTTGGCACCGAGGACCATCCTGGCTGAACGGCTGTTCGCTGCGGCTGCAGGTTTGATAGGGCCCTCAGCATTAAAAGAAGAAAGAAGTCATCATTATTAAAATACATCAGCCACAACAGACAAGTTATTGTTGTTGAGATAATTTTGCCATACTGAATTATTTTTCGAAATTTCATAAATGCAATGTCCCTTCTTTGTCAGGACTGCATGATCAAAGAAAATTATTTGCGGTGCATCATCATGATCGTATTGTTGAATCCTATCACTGAGAGGAGTGTTGCTGAAGGTTTCATTTGGATGAAATAATATTCTCAACATTTTTCCTGCTTTCACAATGTCAGTAATAGCTGCGTTCAAGGAATTTCTTTCTTTCAATGTAAGGACATTCGTTGGTGGAGAGCGACTTGTTTCCAAATTTTCATAATACAAATTGGAAAGATCAGTTGTAGCGTAATTTTTCTTGAATTTTAAATTGTCTCCTGTTTTCCTTGTTACTGCTGCAACAATTGGAATACATAATGGAATTGTATCATCGTTAACTTTTGAAGAACGTTTTAACATTCCCAATACATCAGGACCCGCATTGTGGCATGGAAGGACTAAAAATCGAGGTAAAAGATCGTCATCATTTCCAGTTAAAGGATATTTCTCTGTTTGAAATATTTTCATATTGCAATGTATGGTGTTAATGAGAAGAGATGAAATTTTGAAGTCATTATTCAATGAATCTTTGGAGATTTCTGAATCTTCAACATAATACTTTGCAGCTAAATAATAGTTTTGCAAATAAGTCCCTGGGAATTGTTGTTTAAAGAATTCAAAATGGTTCAAAATAAAATATACAGAAGCAACTTCAGAGAGAGGTGAAATATCACCAATATTACTTAATTGCTTGTGAGAATTTAAAAACCAATCACCATTAGACCCATATTGTTGAAGAGTCTTCAATAATCTCATCCTTTCTATTGGACTGACAACCTTATATATTTTGTTAGTATAATCAAAAGTATAACTTAACCCATGTGTTAACAAGAACTTGGAAGCATCTTCGATCTCTTCCGATATACTTGTTTGTGTTGAGACAATATGCAAAGCTTCTGTTAAATTTGCCTCTCCAAGCAAGGCTAATCGGTAAAACAAACTCTTGTATAAGGGATTGTCAGTTTTTTCTGGTCCGTAACCCTTTTTTTTGAAAACGAGAGTGCAAAGATTTGTATATATAAACTCTGTAAAAGATCTAAATTGAGGTGTTGAGTCCTTGCACAACTCTAGATATAATTGTTGAAGAAATTCTTCGCATCGTCTGGTTGGACCTTGTAAAAATGTTGCAACAAGATTCCAAATATCTGGATTATTGTGGCCTTTTCTACTGGTATCTATAAACATGTCCAAAAACTTTCTAACTTGTTTGGCGTGCAATATCGGAAGTGGGTTTGTAAAGTGGTATGAAAACTTTTCAAAGACTTCTTTAGAATCATCCTTAGATATTTTCATTTCAATTTTTCCTTCTACAGCACTTGCAAAGGTTGTTGTTAATATTACGCCTCCATAATCTCTCATATTTGAAGTGAGGAGAGTTAATAGGTTGCCGTTGTCGGTGTCGTTTGCTGTTCGAGGAACTTTGCCATCAAAGTCGTTAAAATCATGAGCCTCGTCAATGAAAAACATAACTTTTTTCAGCTGTGGAGAAAACCCATGCTGTTCATAATTATTGTTATAAGCTTCTTCTACCATTTTGAAACCTCCATTCAAGATGTATTTACATAAATACAAATTGGTCTTATTAGTATCTTTAGGATCCAATCTAGCATTAATAATAATATCTGCCACAATTAAGTATGACTTAATGAACCGTTTTGTTTCGCTATCTAATAACCCTCTCAAATTAGAACTGTTTCGTGAAATGTTAAATATCATTTCCAATGAATTCGATATGATATTTTTGTGCTTTGATTGTATAATTAACACAGTATATCCTTTAGAAATTAAATGATATGCAAAGTGAGTTTTTCCAGTTCCAGGTGCTTCTATTAATGCCAACACTGGATGGGTTATATTACCCGAGGTGATAAATTTAAAATGTTCATCATATTTGTTTGCAGGAAATGTAGGACCTAAATCGCAAGATATGGCCCAAGAGGATAGAGTTATTTCATTATTGTTATTTGTGTCCTCTTTCTTCTGGTACAAATAGATTGGAGAATCAGATTTGTCGAGTTGAACTTGTTTCATTATCTCATTGAACTTGAGTACAGATTCTTTTTCGTTTCTTGAATAGGTTTGTACATGTTTATCAAAATCATCCAAAACTGATTGGATAAAAGTAGAGGGAACAGTAGTGAATTTCCGCAGAGAGTTATGCACCCAAAATACAACAGATTGACAAGTTTCAGAGAGTTGAGGAATGTCATTCTTGTTGTAAATACTTTTCAGTTGATCAATGGCATACTTTATGCCCTCCATATTGATATTCTCAATAATGTTGTGGAGAGATTCGCCATCAAAGCCCAACTCTTGCAAAGGCTTCACCTTTTCTGCAGATAACCCAGCACCACCAATAGATTTAGGAGAAGTCAACATGAATGCCACTTGTTGGGCGTTCCAACTGTCGTAATCATGGAACTTGAGAGTTTCCTGTTGTTCTAATGAGGAGGAGGATGTTGTGGAAGATAATGTTGTACTATTGTTGGATGTATCATCACCACTACCTTTGGCTTTTGTTGATACTTCTTTTCTCTTCAACCAATTTGTAGTAGTAGTGTACGAACGTATTTGGCCAAATGTTCTTGTAGTATTGAATAATAGTTGTTGGTTGATGTTTGGCGTCACTTTTTTCGTCCTATACATTAAATCATCATTGAAAATTAATTTGTTTGATGATGGAGAAAAATTAATAATGGAACCATGGTGATTTCTTGTCGAACATCCTCCTCCTACATATTTTGTTGTTGCTTTAGTGATGCCTGTTTTGCTCGCCGAACGGTTGATATGGCGACGGAAAAACATGCGCTTCATGTTTGTGAAATTGAGAATTTTTTTGGAGGTTAATAGAACGAAAACAGCGTCTTTGTGCGCAAGGTGTGTCAAAATAAAAATCTAATTAGTTTATTGTTGGCACCATTGGTGCTGGTAAAACTATTAAACGCACGTTCATGTGGTTGACTTTGGCTTGAACTGTCTTGAAATTGGTTTCAATTCTGTGGAGCAAATAAATCTTGTTGAGGTTAGTCTATTCAATTCATTGATGTCATTAAGCTTGTATTCAACAAATAGGTATGAGTAGGTATCTTTTACCTTTTTCTTAATACTGAGTCTCTTTTTCGAATTTGATGGTTGTGTTCTTGCATAGTGTTTTAATAGCTTTGGTAATTGCGAGTTCACTTGTTGATTCAGGAAGTATGCAATTTGCTCTTTGCGTTTCTTGCTTTCTTTTGATAATTTCAAATCCTTGTTCAAGCGTCTTAACAACGTCTCGCAGTTCTTTTTTTCGATTCGTGTCAATAAAAATTCTTTCGCCCACCGTGGGGCTCGAAACCCACGACCACAAGATTAAGAGTCTTGCGCTCTACCGACTGAGCTAGACGGGCGCCAATTTTATTCTAGATTAAACGTTACAATTATAGAGAGGAGAAGAAAAGTTTAACTTTGTTTGCGAACCTGATTGAAATCAAGCATACACAAGCTAAAAAACAGCAAATTAACCTCATTGATAGGTCATGAATATGGTCTTGTTCTCTATTGCATTCTTAAAGATCAGTTAAACTGGAATTTGACAACGTGTCTTTGTAATTCTGCAACAATGCAAAGAATTGTCACTGTTAACAATTTCATTTCCAAATAAGGGTGGCCAACTCCAGCGAGAAAACTTTACTCTGCGAACTTTACGATCATAGGATGTTTTAATGATGGTTTCAATCCATCAAAACTTGCCAATTCAATTTAGACACGTGAAGGAAACGCCACATCACTATTGGTGCCTCAACACACGTTGAATTGGTTTTACAAGAGCCATTGTGGTTTTTTCTGCTCTTTTCTATGCAGCCAAGGATGACCCAACCAAACTTTCAATGCAGATGTCCAAAAGTAAATTGAGATAAATCCCTCCCTTTGATAATAACGAGAGATAATTACATGGAAAAGATGTGATAAAAGAAACGAAATGGGTGTAGGAGGTCAAATAAATTATTTTATATTTTTTTATTTACAATGCATCAAAAACAAATCTCTCCTTCCTCCTATCGATGGACTCAAGAAAAAATTAAATATCCCAAAACACTGGTAAACGATGGAGGAGATAAAAGTGGAGACAATCATTGCCAGGACAACACCTCTTCAATATATCTCTCCGGGCACGATTGGAATGCCATTGCCCGGAAATTAAATGAAAAATTCGGAACAGCTTTTTCGGGACAGAGTTGTCAAGATGCCATGACTCGGTTTCAATGGATTGAAAGTTTGAGTAGTGATATGTGGGCGTTGATTTTTTCGTTTCTCAATTTGAATGATTTATTTGGGAGTGTAGAGAGAGTTTGTAAGAGTTGGAGATTTGTATTATTGAGCGAGGATTGTGATTTTACTGTCTATGGAATGTTGGTGAATGAAATTGCTAAATTTTGTGATTTCCCAAATGACAGACAAATTTGTATGGTTATTCAAAACGAAAAATCCAAAACCAATCGAGAACTTGTGAAAGAATTTTATTTACAACCATTGAAAAACCAAATTTACACATCAGAAGCATTTACAACCTATTTACACAAAGGAGGAGTCATTGATATTTGGATGTTGTGTCCATGTGAATTGTTGAACATTTTATTGAAACATCAAATCACAGCTACCGATCAAGGATCACATACCATGAAAATGATTCACAAATATGCGCTCATGAGTTCCATCAGTAGTGGATGGCATGAAAAAGAGTTTATTTATGTTGCCGCCGATAAACGTATCATTACCTTTAACACCTATCATCCACGAAACTCAAAAATTTCAATCGTTTCTCATGGAGTTCTATTACTTGAAATGATACATCATCTACAAACATGGAGAGAACGATATGGAACGAAAAAACTTTTGACCTTCTTTCTACCGACCCATGTAAATTCTTGTGTAGAGTATGATTTAATGCAAGAACCAATTTTGGTGGATACCATGAGCGACACTGATACGAAGGAAGATATTTTTGATCTTGCGAGTGTTCCACCTTATGGTATGAAAGACGCATCTCATGAAATTTCACTATTAAGGTCAGAATTATTTGGTGAGGATTATTCATGTACTGTCTTTGAATCGAATGCAAGAAACAGTGACAATATGAACGAGACATGGTCAACATATTGGCGTGCTGGAATGGAATGGTGGGGAACATATGCATTTACTATTTATAATCATGAAAAGAACGTGTTTTTTGTGACCACCGCAAGCACTACCGATTGATTGGTTCTGTGCACTTGTAAAAATTCAAAGTCACAACAACCTATCTGTTATGCTTCAGCAAAAATGAACAATTTTGAGAAAATCCAAATTCGATTTCAATATTGAGAAAGTTCTTGAAAGTCGTGTGACTTCAAAATGTGTAACGTTGTAAACTATAGTTTCAAAGCTTGAATCGACCTGCTTATTTGAATTGGATTCGATTAATATTACACGATTTCATACCATGTGGTCATGCTGATTGTTCTGCTCAAAATTCATACATGTATGGGTACACGGTCATGAATCACAAGATCTTATTGGAGCGAGAACGGAACCACTGACTGCTAAAATAAATTGAATCAATTTCTTTATGTTGATTGTGACCTTTTATTGAAGAGTTCTGATTTTCTTAAATTCTTGCGGAAAACTTTGGAATTTTCTGTATGGGTTCAATGATATATGCCTTAATTATTTTGGGGTCTTTGCGACTTTTGAATACACAAAGTTGAGTTTGATAAAGCAAAGTTGGTCAATATCACCTTCATGCAATCCATAGAATCTGTTGTCCCATGTCAAACACTCTCATTACAGCAATAAATTTACACTTTTAGAAACCTTCACCAGTCTCTTTACGGCTGGAATGACATCCTCAATTCTCTTCACATTCAATCCAATGCACAATTCATTGATGAGTGTTTGAAATTTAGGGAATGTCTTGACGTATTGTTTCAATTGAGAGACCATGCTTTCGCATTCGCTGACAATTTCATGTGTGTACTGTACATTGAGAATTCGTTTCAATTTTAAAATGACTTCCTTATCTTCGTTGGATTCATGTGAATTGCCAATAATGGTCGTTTGTTTTTTTAACTCCACAATGGCTCCCTTCAACTTGTAATAGAGACTTGTGTTTTGGTCACGATCTTCAGCATTGGCAAGTTCCTTTTTGACTTTTTCATACAGTCTTCGATACCAAATGATATCTGCAAAAAGATTATCCAAATCAATAACCTTGTCGACATCCAATAAAAAGTATCCAAATTTCTTGTCACCATTATAATTTCCAAGATTAATCAGAGAGAAAATAAATGAATACATTTGAGCATTGTGCTCCAGGACATTCTTGAGTTTTGGAATAATTTCACTAATACTCTTTACCCGTAACAAGTCATCTCGAATGGCGGTAAGAATGGACTTGTAACGATGATCAAGCTTTCTCTTGAGTGGGGAGCTAATAAATTGCTCCTCTCTGTCTTCAATATCAAGAGAAATTTTCTCTTCATTATTGGAAACAAAGTAAAAGTTTGGATCATCCAACAATGCATTGTTACGACCATTATTGCCTCTGTTCTTGGGTGGTGTCCAAGACATCATGTCATCCATATCATTTTTAGAGGCCTTAATTGGACTTGCAACTTCGCGGTGAGGATGAGATTTTTTGGGAGTGGTATTACCTTCAGAAATGTCACCACCACCACACTCAGAATCTGAATCAGTGCCAAGCCATCGTTGCACAGAAAGAGGGAACCTGATCGTTGAGTTGAAGTTTGGCTCTTCTTCGATTGTCCGCAAGAGTCGACTTGGTCACCTCAACAAGTTCTTTCAATTTTCGTAGCATGTCATCGATGGAGGTTGGTGGATTGGTTGTGTCCTGATTCAAAACGTTGCACAATTCGTTCAGTCTCTTGCCAAGTTTTGCTATGACAGATTCTTCTTTTGAAGAAATCAAGTTGGAAACTCCAACAGATAACAATGCAAATTCGAGATCGAGGAATTTTGAAACTTGTTCCTCTCGCAACAACATCAATTCCACAAGTTTGGCAGTGTCCATGGATGAATTAGATTCGCTCAATGCTTTGAACATTTTCTCTCGAATGGTAATTTTGTCTTCCTTCTGAAGATTTT